AAAGAGAGAAAGAAAAGGAGGGAAAGAAAGAGGGCAAAGAGATGGGGGAGGGGGAGGCTCTCCCACACCCCCACTCCCCCAATCAAGCCTCCACCCCCCCAATCAAGCCTCCACCCCCCCGCGGATCCCTCACATACCCCGGGAGACAGCGGGGAGCATCTTCTGGCCTCCCCTGGGCCGCAGCACTCCAGTGCTGCCCCAGGGAGGCGGCGACGGGCCTCCTAGGGCCTCCCTGGGGCTGCAGCACTCCGGCGCTGCCCCAGGGAGGCACCAATGAGCCTCCTCTGCCCTCCCCAGGGTCGCAGCGCTCTGGCGCGGGCCCCAGGGAGACAGCGACGAGCCTCCTGGGGCCTCCCAGGGGCAGCAGCGCTCCGGCACTGGCCCTGGGGAGGCAGCGATGTGCTCCGACACGGGCCCTGGGATGCCAGCGATGGGCCGCAGCGTGGAGAGCTAGGGGCAGGGCTTGCTGCCACTGCCATTTTTGCCAGCTCCTGAAGTGGTACTCCGGCGCGCTCTGGCCCCAAAAGACCCCTGCATAGGTGAAATGTTGCAAAGTACATGAGCTGGAACAGAGTAAGACAAGACGAATGATGATTAATTCTGAGGAAAAAATTGTTATCCTTTCTCTGTTGCTGTTGGGATAGGAATTGGATTTTGTTTTTAGAAGCTGGAAGATTGTTACCATGCATTGGATTAGGAAAGAGTTTCCTGCTACTTATAATTTAAGTATACTGAAAACAGAAAGAAGAAGAAGAAAAAAGTCTGGGTTCAGTTGGCTCCTTTAAGACTAACAAAGTTTAACTCTGGGTATAATCTTTCATGTGCATCCACACTTCATCAGGTAACATGCACACTTCATCAGAGAAAGTGCATAATTGAGGGTTCCCCTTCAGCTGAATATATGAATGTACCTGCTTTATGTTTACTAACCTGAAAGTGACTTGCTTGCCTTGGAGAACTGGGGAGGGGGGAGGCACTGCTGATCTTACTATAATCTTTGAAAGACAGACCAGTATTTGCATAGTCTACAAAGGAGCTTAACTCACTGCAGCTAAACATCACTGGCCACTGAGAAATGGAAGTCTGTCCCCTGCACTCCTGGCTTTTTGATTTCCTCTTTTCAGATTGTCATCTTTCCTTATCTCTTGGAAAACCAGAAAGTCTCTCCAAGGACACAGCAGCACGTCAGTTTTCAGTAGCACTTTCCTTTATCTGTGATCACTCAACTGACCCCTTTAGCCTGATGCAGTCAGAAAAAAAGAAAGAAGCTGCAGTTGAAGTGATTTGGTGATCAATCAGATCAATTAATTCAAATATTTTGATTGATTTAAAAATGAGCCATCGATTATAAGGTGGTGTGTTTTTTTGTTTTTTTAAAAGGCTAATTATTACCATTTTACAAAAACAGCAAGAGGCAGGTGCCATTTTAGTGGTGTCACCTCAAGTCCATTTTGAGAGAAAAGCGGCCCTATAAATGCTTCAGATGAATAAATAATGCTTCTCTTATTCTTCTGAGACTATGTAACACATACCTACCCCATCTTAAAATAGCTATTCATCACTTTTTTTGGCTTCTGAACTACAGCTTTATTCATATAGAAATGTATGTAGATTTCACTTGATTAAAACCTATGATTTATGATCCTGGAAATGCAGTTAGATGCTGGAAATGACATGAGAATCATTCAAATTTCTTTCGTATGTAGGGGGTCAAAGGTATTGAAATAATACTATTTAAGTGACTCTTCAAATTACTGGTACGAACTGAGCCCTTAATTCAGTTACTGAATATTTTACAGGAAAAACAATGTGTTCTGTATATTATTATAGAATCTTCTTCTAGCTGAAAAATCCTCTGGGTCAAAGAATGGAAAGCTGCATTGATACCAACAATGGTTCATTGAGGCATTGGAGATTGCAGAAATTTTTATTGATGGTGTTTAAGGGTATTGCTGACCATGAGTGAAAAATGCTTTTAAAAAATCTTGTACTAGAATTCTCATTGTTACAGTGTTAAACTGGCAGAGCATTCTTTTCTGTAGAAATTGTTATAGTAATAGATCTTTGATTTATTCTTTTGAAAAGATACAGATTGACGAACTAGGATTTCTTTAATCAGGTGATAGCCTTTTTTTAAAAAAACCTGATCCTTGGCATACGGGGACACCACTGCATCGTGATCTCCCCCCCCCCCCTTTCTGGAATAAAGTCCAGTGCTTTTTCAGCAGATGACCAAAGAATGATTCAGACTTTATGGCCGCCATGTGAAAACTGTTGAGAAATGCTTCTGTGTGGTGGTGCTCCATGTGGGGGTTCTGATATCTGAAAATGGCTCATCAAAGGATTGTACATGTTATCTTGATGTATGTTTAATGTGGTTAGAACAATCGGTAGGATCTTCCAACTTCTGTCTTCTTACCCCCCATCTGTCTCCTTAGATGTATTTACTGTAACTCGAGAAAGGGCTGATATACTTACAGACTGCATGCATGTAAGCTCTTTATGAGCAGTAAGGCAGCTTGCATAAAGAGGTAGTCTACTGCTGAAGTACTGAGGATAGGCATGTCAGCAGATGCCTATTTTCACCAGTTTGTGAGATTTTCAGGGGCACGCATGGAGACAGAATGCTGGATTTTTGAACTCAGTCCCACAAGGCAGTTATAAGGTAGTAGTGGAATCATTGCCTGTCCTCCTAAACTCTTGGTGGCTCCTTCCTGTGTGCCAGTCTGAATTTACACTATACATTTGTTACTGTACTTCTTGTATGTGTGGTTGAAGTTAGATTATCAAAATATATTCCAAAATTTGAAGCCATCCTTACAAGAAACAGATCTTAGCTTTGCCTCTGAACAGCGGCCAGTGGGTATCAGAATAATGTATCAGGAGGTATGGGCTGCAATGTCATCAACATGCGAATGATACACAGCTCTATATTTCTTTTCTAGCTAATTCCAAGAATGCTGTTAATATTCTAAACCGGAGTTAGTAATGGGCTGGATGAGGGTGAACAAGCTGAAACTTAAATCCTGACAAGACAGAGGTTCTCTGGGTTGGTAGAAAGGCAGACCAGGGACTTGAGATCTCTCCTGTCTTAGATGTGGTTCTATTCCCTTTGAAAATCCAGATACACAGCTTGGGAGTGCTGCTTGACACAGTGGCCACCTTAGTAAACCGGGTGGCTGCTGTGGCTCAGAGTGTTTTTGTCCAGCTTTGGCTGGTGTGTCAGTCAGATCTAGCCACAGTGATCCATGCCTTAGTTATATCTAGACTGGGCTATTGCAATGCACTCTCTTTGGGCTTGAAGGGTGTTTGGAAGCTGCAGCTAGTGCAGAATGCTGTGGCTAGACTGCTGGTCGGGGCCAACTAGTGGGTGCATGTGACCCTGATATTACAGCAATTACATTGGCTTCCTCTCCACTACCAAGACCAATTCAAGGTGTTGGATTTGACCTTTAAAACTCTATATGGTTTGGGTCAGGGATATCTGGACCATCTTTTCCCGTATGTTCCTGCCCGTGAATGAAGATAGCAGGGGGAGGACCTCCTGACTGCCCAGCAAATCTAAGAGGCTCGTCTGGTGGACGTATGAGAGGGTCTTTTCAGTGGCAGCTCTTACAATTCTGGAACAACCTGCCAGGAAGGTGTGCCTCGGCCCCTCACTGCTGATCTTCAGGAGGCAGTTGAAGACAATTTTATTTAGGACTGCATTTGATTGATTTAGTTTTAATCTATTGGCAATCCTAAATGGGGTTTTTAAATTGTGACTTTTAATAAGTTTTTATAATAGTTGTTTTTAATTGCTATTGTACGCTGTCTTGAGTTTCACAGGGAAGAAAGGCAGCTAATAAAGGTTTGAAATAAATAAATAGATAACATCTCTTTACTTTGTCTTTGCAGGTGTATATCATAAAAGTAACATGGTCAGACTCAGCTTGCCATACCATCTACCGCAGATACAGCAAGTTCTTTGATCTCCAGGTAACAGATAGGGTTTTCTCTTACTGCTATAGGGGAAATATGTATATTCTTGATTTCCTGCATTGCCTAACTGTGCCATTCAATCAATTCTAATGCTTTCTGAAGATGTTGCAAACTTTGCATCCAAAATGTTCAAGAGATTCAATGGCAATTGAATTGAGGAAGGGGAAGCTATCTGGATATATTTGGGGAGGGTTTCTTATGCTAGTGTGCTGCTCTGTGGTCTTTCCTGCTGAGTAGTTCCTTGTTGACAGTTCTTTGGATTCTAGGAACTTTTCTCTTTTGTGGGTTAGTGTCTTACTTGCCTGTAGTTTTATCGTAATATTATCCCTTCCAACTTTGCTGCAGTTACTGTTCCCTGTACATGATATATTCATCAGTTTGTGCCTACCTCAAAGTTCATCAGGCAAGTGGCAATAGTCCCCACCCCCCATAGTGATCTTTTGCTCATTGAGTCCCCTAAACGTCTGGTAGCCAGAGGAAATGACAGGGAACTGAGAAGTCACTTCATGCATTTCCAATTTCTTATATTTACATTTCTCAAACACTGTTTTCAGCAACATTGTTTTACTATCCATATGGTGTTTATGCAACTATCCCCTTAGTGTTGTTATTGGGGACACATTTCCTGCCATCATAAATTGTATGTTGGAATCCTTTTTTCAGACAGCAGTGCAAGCTTTGCATCATCACGGGGCAGGTGCCACAGGAAGTTCCCTCTCATCTGATGCAAAATTTCCTTCCTAAGGGCAGCAGCTTTTGTGTGAAAGGAGCTAATTGTCATTGGTGAAACCAGTGGCTGTGTGTCACTGGTCACTGTAGCTATTTCTTTCATTGGAAACAGGAAATAACTAAGACGTGAGTCATGAGAAAGAAGTGATGGATTGCTAGTAGTATACAGTTGGCTTGATTATGCTTTGGGGAAAACTTTGATGTCTGTCAGAAGCTTGTGTCATAGAGCTTTGGCGGTTTAGATTCACAGTAGTTGCAGTTGCTAACATAGATGGATGAGAACTTCAAAGGCATGTCTTGACAGACAACATCAACTCTTTGTTTCATACTGAGCATGCAAGGAGCAGACTAATACCGGCTCAGCTCTTTTTCTTTTTCTTTTAAAGATTGACAAGTGTCCATTCTATCAGTATCCAATAAGCAACGTTCATTTGCAAGCAGCTGTCCAAAGCTGGAAACCCAGCAATTCCATCTGCTTTAGTGTATGGACAGCTCATTTCACTGACATCTCTGATAAATGTGTGTTATGGCAGCTAGCTTTATGAGACATATTGACAGCGTCTTATATGGGCATAATATGAATTTGCATAAAGCTGCAAAGGGCAATTTTGTAATATTTTCTGTATTTCCTTCCATTGTCCTATGTGGAAAATAAATATTTGAGCCACTTGATTCATCTGCATCTGATGTTTGTACACAGAGCTATTTTGAAAAGTCATTGGTTTCCTTTATTTGTTAATTTTAAAAAACCCATTGCCCCCCCCCCCCCCCCGGGTCTGTGTTCTTGTAAATCTGCTGGACTTTCCTGTTAGTTTTGAAAAGTTCCCATCAAGCTAAAGTTATCAATGGGGTTAGTGTGTTGCACAGGAAATGATGTCTCCAATCAGGGGAGAAAGAGTCTTGAAAGGTCCTATTGATAAGTGAATGGGGAAGGGGGGGCTAACACCAGTGGAAAAGGTCTGTTGAACAACATGTGTCCCTCTCCCTTTCTCACTTGAAAACATTGCAGGAAACTAACCCTCCCTCTCCCCACCCTTTTTTAATCCTGTTGTCCCTGGGCACTTTAGGTGCCTTTGTTCTCTAAGTACTGCTGGCACACAGAGAACTGCGGCATTCACAGTAAAGAGTTTAGTGACAGGCCGCCATGCTTGGCAATCTGCATGTTTATTTAAATGCATGTATTCCTTTCACATATTTGTTTAATCCCATGTTTCCACAGTTGCTCAAACTAGCTTGCACCATTGTTGAAAGCATGTACACCAGAACATATTACTTTAAGACAGATCGAGATGGGTAGCCATGTTAGCCTGTCTGTAGAAGTAGAAAAGAGCAAGAGTCCAGTAGCACCTTAAAGACTAACAAAATATGTGGCAGGGTATGAGCTTTCGTGGGTATGTGAAGAAGTGAGCAATGACATATGAAAGCTCATACCCTGCTACATATTTTGTTAGTCTTTAAGGTGCTACTAGACTCTTGCTCTTTTCTACAATACTTTAAGAATACTTTAAAAACTCCAAGAGGAGTAAACCATGTTGTTGATGCATATATTGGATCCAAAGGGCAATGCAGCACATGTTATCTTGTTTGCCATGTTAGAGAGACAGAATTAATGTCTAGTAGTATAGAGGAAAGGGTCTCCATCTATCTGCATCTTTCAAAAGAAATTCTCTAGGGATGTTTTAGCAGGAGTTCCAGAAAAGCAGTGTGCTCTGAGGTTCAGAACCTGCTTGCCTGTCAAGAGTCCAGTCTCTATAGAGATATGGTGTTATGAGGTGCTTTCCTCTTCTCAGAGAAGGAACAGTGCAGTACTGTGGCTTTCTCTGTCTGGCCTGGCTCCTGTCAGTTTGGTGTAGTGGTTAAGTGCGTGGACTCTAATCTGGAAGAACCGGGTTTGATTCCCCACTCCTCCACTTGCACCTGGCTGGATGACCTTGGGCAAGCCGTAGTTCTGATAAGAGCTGTTCTTGAAAAAGAGCAGTTTCTGTCAAGAGCTCTCTCAGCCCCACCTGCCTCTCAGGGTGTCTGTTGTGTGGAGGGGGAGGGAAAGGAGTTTGTAAGCTGCTCTAAGACACCTTTGGGTAGTGAAGGGCGGGGTATAAATACAATCTCTTCTCTTCTTCTTCTTCTTCTGTCCTTTACTGTCTGCTCTGTAACACTTTCTTCCCCATTCTTCTCCATGGTTTTCTCCCTTACACTCTTCCCAATCTATGCAGTTGCCATGGACTTTCTGTTGTTGTTGTTGTTATTATTATTAATTAAACTTATGAATTGCCCAGTTCCTGCTATTGCAGGGCTCTGGGCAGTGTACAGCCATAATAAAAATATCAAAGCATAAGACAAAATATAAAATAATACTAGTACAACAAATCTAAAGAAGACAGATGACAAATTTAATAGACTGCCAACTACCTCACGGGAAGGGGTGGGGGACAGAACAAGGGCAGTACGGAGAGCAAAGGAGCAGCTCTGGTTTTGTTGAACTTTTAATAAAGTGTACAGATGCCCCCAATCGTTAGCTATTAGAAAACTGGTTGAAACCTTCCTGTTTCAAAGAGCATAAGTGATGATTTCGTCTTAGAGATTAACCTTAGCTTCTGTTCTTACTGTTAATTTTTAAATGTACACTTATAATTATGTTTTGTTTTAAACTTCTTTGAGTCTTATAAATAACTTGCCACTCTCCTCTCTGATAGAATGGGTTTGAAATGCTTGAGTATTGAGAGAAATGCTTCAAGATAGAGCTGAGATGAATAAGAGCCCTGAATGGGGAATTCTCCTTGTATGACCAGTGGTGCTTTCATACGGATGGTTCTGCATGCAGTGGGTTAACATGGGAGCTGGCCGTCTGCTGAATGATGTCATGGCTTTTTGAAATAGAACAGGGTGTGGTCATCTGATGGAGTCTTATGCTTGACACACTGTAATCATTGCAAGACACTGGCCACGTGTGACTATTTTACTGTCAGTAGCTTGTATCATTATTTTCCATGCTGGATTTGACTGTGTCCCTCTTCCGTGGGAGCTGCATCCGCTGGCTTGAACTGATTTCAAGTGGCCTGGAGTGGGGGGAGGGTTTAGGAGAGCCAACCAAAAAGATCAAATAACTGTGCAAGAGGAAAAGGCTGGGAGGCATGTATAGTTAACAGCTTTGCTAGAAGTTTTATAGGAACACACTGGAGTTTGTTTCCCATGACTTACTCTTGTGTGTTGGCTCCGGACACACACACTAAATAATGCACTTTCAGTCCACTTTCAGTGCACTTTCCGACTGGATTTTGCCAGTTCACACAGTAAAATCCAGTTGGAAAGTGCACTGACAGTGGATTGAAAGGGGATTATTCAGTGTGTGTGACTGCAGCCCATATCAGAGCAAAAGGAAGGGATCTCTTGACATGAATAGGACTCCACTGGAACAGCCCCTGTTGTGCCATTTTGCACACTTTTAATTTCTATAGGGCTGGCACAATGCCCATCCATGAAGACCTAGTCAGGTTATCTAAGCAAAGTATAATGTAGCTCAATGAAACATGGATTGCTAAAGTCTCCAATATGCTTTTACTCTGATCAGTTATTACAGTGACTAAGGCTACTGGAGTACATGGAAGAATGTGTTCATTACATAACCCAAACTAGAATGCTGGATTAGAACCGTGAAGACCTAAATTCAACCATGACGGTTACTGGAGGACCCTTCACTAGTCTCTCTTTCAGCCTATTCTGATCTTGAAGGCTAGGTGTAAGGATAAAATGGACAAAAGGGAAATTATATACGTTGCTCTGAGTTCCTTGGGGGGAAGGTAGAATAAAAATGTAATAGTGAGTACAGATGCTTACATATCTTCAGTGGTAGAGGGATAGCATCAGACGTCATTATTGGTCCTCCCTCCAGCATTAACTCTGATAAAGGAATCTCTTCACAGCTGTTTCCTCTGATACTCTCATTTACTGCTTGTCTGTAACGGGTAAAAAGTGGAATTATTCACGGATTTCTTGGAAGGTATGTACAGTATTAGTAAAACAAACATACCACCAGTGTTATTCCCTGACTATGGATGGTATTTGTTCATAGCATTTTTCAGTATGGATCACACCATCATTCTGGAGGGCATTCCAACCTGGGGTTTTCACAGCCTGTAGGAAAATACTCTGTAGCCACTCAGTGATTAAATGAAGGAGCCTCCTGTGCAAGCCTGACTCTGCAGGAAGAATTTTAGGTAGGCAGATATGAAATTTAACCATGCTGCACATTATCCCATGTTGACATTTTA